AATAAAAGCAGACCTAGTGCTTCTACCAGGGCACTGAGGAGGAGAAGGTCAACCATCCATATCAATGTAGAATCATAACTGGTTGACCATAAGCAGTGAGGGGTCTGGGTGGCAGGAGGCAGGAGAGGCGGGAGATGGCCCCTGCCCCAGAAAGGCTGCCCCAAGGAAGGGATGTGAGCAGAGAGTGAGAGTGTGTGGTGGAGCGATGAGAACTCTCAAGGCAGCAGAAGCAGCACATGCCGAATTCCCTTGTGGCAGGAGTGTGGTTTGTGGCTTATTCTGGAAGTAGGCGGGGGTCAACTAAAGAACGAAGGACAGAGAGGAAACGAGGGATGGGCGGTGACAGACCTGGTGATACCTACAGTGAGTGGTTCGGGGGGGCTTTGACAGAATCAGATTTGCCTTTCAGAAAGATCGTTTCAGTTACCTTTTCAGACTGGGGGTGAGGTCTACAAGAATCATATGGAGAAATCAAATCAGTGAGGATGCTACTGCCATAGTCCTGGCAAAGCGTGGCCGGGATGCGGATGGTGGCAGTGCCAGGTTGAGAATAAATGGCAAGAGCCATTTAAAAAGCAAAACAGAAATACCTGGTAAGGAATAGGATACGAAGGGTGAGCAAGAGGGAGAGATTGAGGGTAAGGCTTGTTTTATCCAGAGATACCGCAATTGCTTTCAGAGGAATAGAGAACTGACATTTACTGAGTCTCCTCCTACAGGCTGATTTCTGTTCTAGGCATTTTCAAATACAGCAGAATTTCATCAGTAGGATGGTGTTGGGAGGGGGCATGGAACAGAGAGGAGTGTGGAACCACTTTCTAGGAGAGGTAGACTTGGTTGAACAAAAGGAACTGACGGTTCCTCCCACAAAAAATAAAAAAGAAGCAATTTGACAAAAAAACATCAGTTCATTTTAACCAGTGTTTGCTGAATTCTGACTATGTAGCCAAGCATTGAACTAGGTGCTGAGGATATCGATTGTCATGCAGTTAAAAAAGAAAGGTTATATGTTAGAAGACACAAAAAGTCAGGGGTGGAACGGAGACCACAGAAAGAGAGGAGCAGGAGACCCAGCAGTATCAAGGAGGAGAAAGGGAAAAAAAAGAATGAGAAAAAACAAAAGCCCCAAAAGATAAGATAGAGAGAAATTGGCCCAGAATATGAAGGAATTACTTATAGGTTGGGCAGAGTAGGATCCCTGGTAGAAGTGCTGTGGGTCCCCAGCAGAGCTACAGCACCACCTGGTGTAATGACCTTGAGTATCGTCCTTGGAGGGTCACCAAGATGGCAAGGCATGGGGTGAGCAACTTGAGAGTTTGAGAGGTGATGGGACAGTGAAGGATTCTTGCTTCCCAAGTTATCCTTTAACAAAATAAAATGTGTTTGACACCATTTTCTTTTCATTAAATGCTTTTTATAATCCAGCATCAAGAGCGTTTATAGGTGAGCAGCTCTGGACCATCCAAGTATGTGGCTGTGGCTCAATGCCAGTGTGTGACATCTTCCATCAAGGTAACTTGTGGCACCTGCAGCAACAGAGGGCACTTATCAAAGGAGGGACTCCTGTCCACCTCAGGAGGACACGCACTTGGCATTGCACGTAAGGTGGTGACACAGGAAACATCTAGCACAAAGCCTGGCACATGATAAGTACCTAATAAATGTGATGTGTGGTTGCCTGGCTTGCATTGCAAACATAATTTTAAAAGACAACATCAGTGCAATCTTTCTAAAATAGGTGCCCACCTCACATATGCAGCAAGGGCACCAAGCACCATAACCCTGAAGACACCAGCACCCCAGGCTGATGCTTCACATGGACAGCAAAGACCACCTACTGGAAAAACACAAACAGCACAGCAGTAGCTCAGCACTTCCACCGAGCCTGGGTGATTAGCACAGATTTCACTAGCTCAAAGACCTGGATTTCTCCTATACGAACCAATCTCCTTTATGTTTGGCTTCTTAAAAACCTACCCTTTTTCCTTTCCATAGCCTCATCCCCTGAGACTAACCTCTGGGCTC